TTAAAAGATCAGACTTCCTAAAAGGCGAGTTTGAAACCTTCAGAGAGGCTGAATTCTCCATTGCTGGAAATGCCCTTTGTAAGGTTAAGGAACATGCGGGGATACTGGGTTGCTTAGAAAGCCTAAGGCATTATGTAAAAGCATATACTGGCAGGGAGAGGTACTCAGAAACAGTGAGCTAGACACCTTTGAGTAGTCAGTTCTCAGATCACAGGAGACATTTTATGAGGATAGATAGCTTATATTTGCTCCAGACAGCAAATTTTAAAATTTATGCACACACCAAAATGCCTGCAGTGAAAATTTCTATATAAATGTGAAATTTTTGAGGATCTTGGGTAGCTCAGTTGGTTAAGCTTCTGATTCTTGATTTTGGCTCAGGTCATCATCTCATATTCCATGGAACTGAGTACTGCAATGGGCTCTGCACTGGTAGCACAGGGCCTGCCTGGGATTCTCTCTCTCCCTCTCTCTCTCTGCTCCCCCCCCCCCCAATAAAGAAATACACTTAAAGTGTGAAAATTTATTTTCCAGCTTCAATTCAACTGCTAAATTTTCACATACTTTGGACATCTTCAAGAAATGGAATCTCTGGTTAACTAGGAGAGACAGTTGTTTATAAATGATGTAGGGGATAGTTAGGATACCAGCTGGACAGTGCAAAAATGAAAAATAGTTTATTCTTGATTAAAAGTAGTTCCATAAAAACTAACTAACTGGGTATGATCATATAAGACTTTGTTTTTGATACCCCCAAAGTAGCATGGTGATATTGTGGGCTAAAAAGGGGGATATCTAAACAAAATGGAAACCTTCCAAAAAGAATTATCACAAGTACGTTATTATAGTCTGATGAGCTTTAGAAAAAGGGGGTCAGGGTAGAGAATAATATTGGTCAAATATGGTTAAATGGAATTTCATGCCTCATCAGTCGTAGACTTGCTCATCTGTGAAATGCTCTAATGTGTTTTTAAATTTTTATGGGTAGTCATTACAAAAATAAGCACACCATAAGCTGATCATTTTGAACTATAGGCCATGAAGATGCTGATGGACAAATAAAAGACAAACAATGCAGGACATTAGAAGTTCTACTGTAACCATTGAATTGTGAGAGTGATCCAAGCATTTCAGCGTAGGGCTCCATTAGGAGCATATGTTACTTTTAAGCCTCTGGACTGCAACCAGACTGGCCCCACCCAGTGTTGCACGAGGTAGATGGCCTTGGGAAAGCTATTCCTTTCTCTGGGTCTTAATTTTCCCTTTTGGACATAGCCAGGCCCATCCATATCTAGTAGAGAGCATAGAACAGCTCTACCGGACACTAGTCTTAGTCCTAGAACCAATGCTCACAACCATCTGTAGCATAACCACTTTTGTTGGCTCTCTGACCTCTTTGAATCTTCTGAGGTTATGACTCCTACTTCCTTCCATCTATTTTCACTGAAGCTTACGAGGTCCTGAGGTCAGATTGTTGATCTGGTTATTTCTGGTCACTATCAATTCATTCAACAAATTCATGCCAAACATTAAGCTAGGTTGGAAAACTTTATCTGAAAAAAGGCCAGATAGTGATGTTCTAGGCTTTGAATGTCATGGGGCCTCTGTTTTCAACCATATTACTCAACTCTGCCTTTAGTCCAAAAAATAGCCATAGATAGTATATAAACCAATGGGAATAGCTGTGTTCCAATAAACCTTTATTTTCAAAGCAGAGGGAGAGCCAGATTTGGCCTATGGTTCAACGTCTGAAGACACCCAAGCTAGATGCTGGGCATCACAAGGTGAATAGAGTCTGATATTTAATATCAGAGGTCAAAGCTCTGTAGCCCATTCTCTTTTGCATTAGGCCAATGAGACTGTACTTCTTTTCCTTTTTAAGCATACATAAGCGGGGCGCCTGGGTGGCTTAGTCGGTTAAGCGTCCGACTTTCGCTTAGGTCGTGATCTCGCGGTTCGTGGGTTCAAGCCCCGCGTCGCGCTCTGTGCTGACTGCCAGCTCCGAGCCTGGGGCCTGTTTCAGTCTGTGACTCCCTCTCTCTGACCCTCCCCTGCTCGTGCTGTCTCTCTCTCTCCTAGAAATAAAAAAAAAAAGCATATGTAAGCTTTTTATTTTTATTTTATTTATTTCTAGGAGCCACCCAGGCACCCCTTAGCATATGTAAGCTTTTTAAAATTGAGATATACTTGACAAAGAACCTTACATTAGTTTCAGGTGTATGACATAATGATCCAATATTTCCATATCCTATGGAATGCTTGCCCAGTACAGTTTCATGCTGTACCAGCAGGGCTCATGAAGACCTTATGGCCTACAAAGCCTAGAATGGTTACCATTCTACCCCTTGTAGAAAGTTTGCAGATCCCTAATTCCGAATAATAAAATCGTTATTATTGAGTAATAATTAAGAACAAGGAATTAGAAGTGAGACACATAACATTTACAATCCTGTAAAAATGCTACCAATAGTAACAAAAATAACCCACGACAAACTATGTGATAAGCATTTTACTAATAATTTTTTAAAAATTGTATTTAATGTGCTAATCATGGCAATTAGATAGCATAGTAATTATTGTTGCACTCAATCTACAAACTCAGAGGTGGTTTACCTAAGCCACACACCTATTAGAATATAAGAATTCAAACCCAGCTCTATGTGTCTCCAAAGCTCGGGCTTAATTTGTCAAGATCATGAAGGATGAATAGGGAATTTGCCAAGTTGGGGGAAGAGCATTTGAGGCAAAGGAAGCAGCCTCTGCAAATGCACAGTGGCATGAAGGCATGCTCAAGGAACAGGGAGGAGGCATCTAGAAGCAGGAGAAGGCTGGACTGGGCAGGGCAATGGGGCCAGGGGGTGTCTGTCCTTGTGGTTTCTTTAGCCAGGGAAGATTGGTATGGATAAGTTACTCAGCCATGGTGGAGCATATGAAACCCTGGGTTGTGCAGTGTTCTGACACCATCCAAAATATCAGTGGTGACTAGTTATGTCATAGGCAGTTGTCACTTGTTCAGATTCTTTATTGAAGTGAAGTGAACGATGCTCATCCTACTTGAGATGTTTTTATGGCATTCACCTCTGATATTCATTCAGAGAAATTAAAAACCAAATTATTAGTCTGTAGGGCTTACTATGGAATCAAAGGCCTGGTTCATTTTAGAGGTGCTGGGAGATGTTAAGTTATTTTAAAGTAAGCATAGAAGCGCAGGAGGACACTCCGTTTAAGGAAAATGCCAAGCACTTAGAAGTAGCTTGCCTTTGAGCTTCTGTTCATGATCCAGAGCCATCATCATTAGACATGAGCATTCTGCATCTTCCATATTGTCCAGAAAAAGAGATTGGGCCCCAGAAGGGAATGATCTTCCCGGGGTCACAGAATTGACTGAATACTGGCTTTATGCCAGGAAAGCTGTCTGATGTGGGCTCCGGATGTGTTTAACTGGTCAAATGACCTGAATATGGTTGATGAGCCATTTGACTGCATAGATAAAAACTGCTTTAAGACTTTGGTACAACAAAGAGAAGATGGGCCGCATCTGAAAATCATGCTTAGTAAAAGGATTGGCCACTTCCATAGGGGAAGTTTAGAACACAGAACTGCAAGGAAAGGGACCTCTCAATTCAAACTGTGGACATACTTTCTGTGAATTAGAAATGACAGTGGGATGATCTGAGTCATAGGATCTCTCACAGATTCATTTCTTTCCCCCAAAGAAAATCTTATGACTAAAGAGAACACAAATGTACTCATAAGAATCTAGGGGAAATATAGCTCAAAATGGATACTAGAAGCACAAAATTCTTTTGAAGTCTCCTGATTTATGGTAAAATGTCATACACACTTTGCATTAAATTCAACAATATTTCTCTTTTTGTTTCTATATAGCCTTTGAAATACTCATTATCCTGTAAAATTGATCCTTGGCACACCCATGCCAAGATACTCTAGACTAAGAAGCAGCACGTGATATGTAATAATTAAGTTCGTAATATCTCAGAGTTGAAACAGATTTTGGAATCACCCTTCCTGATTACTAATTAGTACAGAATATTTCAGTACAGGATAATTTAAAGGCATCTGATGTCCCTTCTAATTCTGAGAATCTATAAGCTCAGACTTACGTGAATGTTTATACCTATACATTCCCAATGGCCGTTGTTTTCACCTCCATTGCAGTAATTAGCATGGTATGTCCTTCAAATATTTTATCATATTACATACCTACACACACAAACATACATATGTAAAAGAGATAAAACTTTAGATTATAGGTGTTGGAGTCAAGGTGACCTGGTTTCAAATTCTAGTTCTTCACAGCAGGTTAGCTCTGTGAGCTTAGGTATGTTTCCTAACCCTACTTAGCCTCTGCCTTTTGGCAGAACAGAAATTAAAAGATCTTCCTGCAGGAATTGGTGCAAGAATTGAAAGAGGTAAGGGATATAAATCTTTTACCACAGTGAGTGGAATATACAGCACGCACATAAAATGGTAGCTAGTGTGTGCATGTGTGTGTGCACATGTGTGTTTATGTGATTCTCACAGTGACTGGCACAAAATGTCAAGCTTAATAAAAATGTGTGGACTTGAACAGAAATGAGTCATGTGCTGGGAATAGAGGGGTTTTATGGATTCCAAGGCTCAGATGTAAACCGAAAGAACAGTCCACTGACAACAATTGTTCCTTTACTTCTTGGCTCCAGGAAGCTCCTGAGACACAAGAAATTCTGGAACTCAGTTCTGTAAAGCTGAGAGTCTGCATTTCTTCTCTTGCACTCAGACATATGCACTGTATCCCTAGACACAACAGATGGCCAGCTCTTTGCACACAAACCGGCTCTGAAGAAAAGCTTTGGGCATAGCAGGGGAGAAAGAACATCTCCACCAGTGTTACTCTCCTTGAATTGAAGGATAGATTCCTGTTACTTCTCTTCATTGACAGCAAGGAATTGACTGCGCTCTTGGGATGACCTCTAAACTGAGACTTACCAGTAGGTAGCACCGATGTTCAAAGTTTCTTCATGAAAGAGTCGGCTCTTCAGCTCCACAAGAAAGCTGCAGATTAAGGAGACAGAACTAATTATTTATTTTTCCCTGGGAGAAGGATGATGCCTGGGAGGTGCTGAATTTCAGAAGTCCTTTATCCACTCAAGGCAACGGGAACTTCAACAAAATCACTGGGGTTCCATGCAGTTCAACTCCCTCGAGAAACTCTGTCTCTGGGCAGCTCACAGCATGTACTAAGTCATCAAAGTACAGGAAAAAATCTTTCTTCCCATAAACTTGGTGAAATACATTAATAGGAGCTGTATTCCATATGCAGAATGTACATAGAAAATACAACTCTATTTATAAATCTTTTCCCAAGATGTTCTACTTCTCAAACTGAGCAGATGGGGTCTCTTGTTTCCCCCTTTGGCAGCTCTGGAACCCTGGGGAATTGCAGGTACCTTTATATATGTGGATCCTTGGGATATGAGTGTTCATTACTTGAATATAGATAGTGATGGTTGTGCCAAAAAAGTCTTTGCCACCTAAAAGTATTCAAAACACTAGTTGTTGTAAAATTAGTCTCTGCCAATGTATTTACCCTGTTTCTTCCCATTGTGTCAAAAGAATTGCGGCTGTTTAGACCATCACCGGTTTTGTAAACTATGTTGAGCACCCCTATCATGATGAGAACACAATGCAAAATGAAACTGCTATCCTGGGAAAGCTGCAGAGTACCACGGATTTGAGGAAAGTGATGCTGGGCTTCTCTGGAATCCCATTCTGAGCCATTGGCAAAGGAGGATTAGGCTGAGTTAGACCAATTAACAATTGGAAAAGAGAAAATCAACAAGGAAGATGATTAGAAGCTTCAAAAGAGAAATATTTGAATATCAAAAGATTAAGAGAAGCCTAAGGGGGAAATGATGAATCTCTCAAATATTTTTACAAAAATTACCTTCCTCCTAATCATGATATGAAAGCGAAATGCAAAGTGAAGGATTTCATTTCATTTGATCCTACAATTTTGTCAGAAAAATTACTGTTAAAAAATCAAGACCTGGCTCATTTTCTGATCATTTTTAGAATTAGCATGTAGTTAAAATTATCAAATAAATTCTGACTATATAAGCTAAAATAAACCTATATGCACGCATTTTAGTTTCCTTTGCCAAACTGAACTTCTTGAATGTTCTTCTTTGGAACTGTGTTTCTAATTGAGGTAGATTTACTTGTAAGTTGACTTCATTGAAGGATATAGTGTGATAGAGCAGGTAGGATTGTATACAGAATCTGGAGCCAGGGTGCCTGGGTTTTGAATCCAAGTTGTGATAGTCATTGTATAACACCGGAAGGTTATTTGATTTCCTTGTATTAAGGGTTTCTCATCTAGAAAACAATTAATAGTAGTCCTGTTTCAGCAGAGAATTGGGAACAAGGTAATGGGTACTGTTATCAAGAGGCATCTGGCCCACGCTTTGTGATGAACTGTGTCTGACTTCTTCTATGGGGGGCCCGTGCTTTCTAAGTGAGCATAACTAAGTTCATTGCTTTTCAGACCCCTTTCTGGAAAAAGCAAACTTTCCTTTTCTCCTAGCTACCTCATTCTTTCTCTGCACAACCATCAACTATTTCTGTAAGTCATTCCTGACCATTCGTCATGCCGCACAAGGTTGGGTGGCTCTTTGTGATTACTATAAAGTTAGTGAATACTGCTATAGTTTCCGCAGATCAATCCTTTCTCTTTCTTCCAAGTCGGCTTCAGGGATTCATGTCTCCCTAAGGCATGAAGGAAAAAGCACACTCATCTCTGTATCCCTACCACCTGGCCCAGGACACCCCTCCCAAATCATCTGCAGTGAACGGGTGCTTCAGTGAGGCCAAGGGGGCAGCAAAAAGAACCTTGGAGAGAGAGGTACTGGCCAGGTCTGCCATTAGCTGGCCCTAAAAGTTCGAATAGCTTGTTTTTCTCTGAGCCTAATTTTATATGTACTCTGTGGTGAAGTTGGTTGGTTCAACTCTTTGCACTCTTTCAGCTATCATGCCCTGTAATTTAATGATACCCATAAAATGGATATGCTAAACCTGGAGGGGGCGATTTAATTTTTAAAAGTTTTTTTAAAGTTTATTTATTTATTTTGAAAGACAGACAGAGGGCACGAGTAGGGGAGGAGGAGAGAAGAGAGGGGGAATCTACATGGTCAGTGTGGAGCCCCAACATGGGGCTCAAATTCACAAACCGTGAGATCATGACCTGAGCTGAAATCAAGAGTCAGACAATTAATCAACTGAGCCACCCAGGCGCCCCTGTAATTTTTCTTTTCAGTTTATAAAAGGAACTCTCTGAAATAATGATGAAGGCTCATTTTTCTGCTCTGTCTTTGCCCATTGATAAATAATTGGGGCCTGGTATTCTCTCAGTCAACCTGTATAGACCTGGATGGATCAACATGGATGCTCTCCACCCAACTCATAGAGCTTCAGATCACTGGGCTCATTCATTCTTGTTTGAAGGCTTGCTCCTCTGGCTGTGCAGCCTAATTATCACCATCACCCTCACTCGTACCCTTTGTGGCTAACTCCCAGACAATACACTAAATAACACTTTTCACATGTTATATCATGTAAGGCATGCACAAAGTTGGTGGGAAAGAAATCACTGTCCTCTTTTTAAGATTGAGTACATTCAATTGACTAAGACAGATTAGAAAACTGAAGGAATTGAAACCCTGGTCTTATTGGCTTCAGAACCCAAGTTCCTAACCAGCACATTCCACAACCTGCTGAGTTTCATCCACATCTATTCCATGTACCCATTGCCTGGCAACACTGTGTGGTATGAGCATCTCTTCAGGAGGGTCACATGCCATTCACTACCTGCCTTTGGGTGCGTGGTGAGTGGTGCTGGGTGCAAGCTTTCTAAGTTCCTTCTAAAGGCCTATAAACATGCAAGACAGTAAAGAGATAAGAGAGGCAGAATGGTAACTAGTGAGAGTACAGGCTTTAAACTGCCAGCTTTGAAATCTATCCTGGCACTTACCAACTATGTCATCCTAGCAAGTTACTTAATTGCTTGATGCCTCAGTTTTTGTATCTGTAAAATGTGAGTAAAAAGATTAATGAGCTAATAAATGTGAAATATTTAGGATGATATCTTGTACATATTAAATACTATATGTATTAAGTATCATTATGCCATACACTTTTGAATGCAGCTCAAATGACATTTTCTCCATAAAAGTTTCCAAAATTTCCCCTTTGGATCCTTGTTTTCTGGTATCTTATTAGGAAATTAAAAAAAAAATTTAAAAACCACCACTATCACTACAAAAGAACAAAAATAATAACAAAAAAACATTAGCTTCCTGATACCAAATATATTTATTAATTAAACAGATCACTCATTTCCATTTGTGACCCAGATGTATGTGACATAAACCTTGTTTTTTGCAGGCTTTTAACTTATATGCAAAATCAATGTTATTTTGACTGTTTCTCCCTTTTCTTGGCTGCTAGGAAGCTCATAGTCATGTTTTGAATCAGCTTTAATAACGATAAGTGCATAGGATCTGCATAATACAAATTTTCTCTGGTCTTTAATTTCCATATGCTTTTTAGATTCCCTGATTTTATTCTTAAGTAATTATTTTTTCTATTTTATTTTATCTTTGGGTAAGTCCTCTCACATCCTCTATCAAATAAAACAGAAAATAAATGTGTTACTATAGTAAATACAGTATTCATCTTTGGAATCCCCTAATTTCTAGCACTGCTTTATATACATAGATTTAGATGGAATCACCAATAAAGAAAAACAGTGCAGGACAGTAATTAAAGCAGTAAAAACAGATATTAGTCCGGAAATATTGCAATAGAGGGAAACAGAAACCTCTCAGTATAGAACTGGGCTCAATTCAGAATACAAGGAAAAGAGGGAATTTATAGCTAAGGAGTAGAGAGGGGGTGGGGAATCTGTGGGTGGAAAATGAGTAAGAAGGTGGGATAATTCTTGCTAAGAGGGTTTGTTGCTGAAGGCAGGCCAGGGTAATGAAATCTAACTGGGGGATGTTGAAGGAGGAAGTGGAGGGAGGCTCAGATATTGAGGGTGGGGGATTCTAGCTAAATCACCTGACTTGACAAGACTCTAGCTAAAAGTAGCCTCTGGGAGGACATGTCCAAGGAGAAGACTGACTTTGGTTTGGTTAGGAACAAAATCTTCGTCGCCTTGTAAACATGCCAATATCCAACTCTGTTTCATCTACACAAAGAGTAGTTTCTTATGGTTCAGCCTAATCTGGTCTCAACAAGTGCTTGCTTGGTTTAAACAACCTCAATTCTAAAGTACTGGTAACAAAAGACAAAAAAAATATTATCTTTTATTTCTTTGAAAATTAAAATGTCTTTTCTTGAATGTCTGTCTCCTTCTCAGCTTGTCCAGTGTGGCTGTTTATTCAATAAATAGAATACCTGTCTGCCTCGGTTCTAATGTGATGTGTAGCTGATACCTCAGAGCACTTACTTCCAAGTACATTTTATATTTAATTTATTACATAATTCTCCATAACTGATTTTATTGATGAACTGTACAGTGTAAAGTTATTATTTGTTAAAGATTTCACCTTACTTTTTAAGAAAACTTTATAGCTACAAAAATCCATTCCTCATACAGGCATTTGAGAGAGAAAAAATCCAAGATAAAGAAGTTCATAGGATTAAAGATCTATTCTACTTGCTGTCTTCATCCCGTTTCACATAAACTCATTGGCCTTATTTTTCAAATAAGCTTTTATTTAGGAAACAGATAAGAGAGATTCAGTTCATTTCCACAAATATTGAGAATCCACCATTGGTTAGGCTGAGGATAAAATGCTAAAAACGAATCATATTTCCTACCACTGAAGAGCAGTCCATGTACTGGTGCTGGAGAAACACACAGTTTTCAGTAGGATGTGATATGCTCTTAGTTTCTACTTTTTAATTAAAGTCTGTGCTTCCCTTTGATAGTTAAACATCTTCCACAATCCACCACCAATTATTTGTAATTTATGTAAATAAATTAAATGCAG